TGTGGTAGCAAAAGTGCTCAAGTGACAGAGCGCAGAAGTTCTCAGTGCTATGAGATAGGTCATCCATGTGGCCTTCCTTCCTTCCTTCCTTCCTTCCTTCCTTCCTTCCTTCCTTCCTTCCTTCCTTCCTTCCTTCCTTCCTTCCTTCCTTCCTTCCTTCCTTCCTTCCTTCCTCCCTTCCTTCCTTCCTTCCTTCCTTCCTCCCTTCCTTCCTTCCTTCCTTCCTTCCTCCCTTCCTTCCTTCCTTCCTTCCTTCCTCCCTTCCTTCCTTCCTTCCTTCCTTCCTCCCTTCCTTCCTTCCTTCCTTCCTTCCTCCCTTCCTTCCTTCCTTCCTTCCTTCCTCCCTTCCTTCCTTCCTTCCTTCCTTTTTTTAATCTTTTTGTTATTCCTAGTTTAGAAGGAATAATTTAAGACCCAGGAGATTTGGCCATTGGAAGAAAACCCAGGGGCTGGAACTCTTTCTAGATTATTTGGAAGACATCTGTACTTCGCTGGTTTAAATAAAAACTTGTTTTTTCTCCTAATGCATGTTTATTCTCCTAATATTTAATTTCTTATCTACTCTAAAATGTTTTCACATTTGGGAGAATCCTCACTTCTGTGATCTAACATGCTTGATTACTTCATAAGCTGCAAATGAGGGGCAGAGTTGTGAACCCTCATAACATGATGCTGTCAAACTTAACAAAACATGCATAAGACCATTACCACATCAGACATTTGCTTTTAGTCAGGTCGTTTTAATCAATTTGACTTCACAGGGCAGCTAATTTATCACTTAGCTAAACAAGTATTTCCTCTACTTGTCATCAATTTAAGTAATTAAAGTGGTAAACTTTGCTATATGGCATGAAATAAAGGCCCAAAGATAATTTGGAGAAGGTGGTTGATACGGTCTAATAGAATGACTGCAAAGTATTATTTAAATACTTTGGTACACTTCAGTAGTTTTCAGAAATGTCGTATTCTGGTGGCATTGCTGGTACTGATAGAAAATTATTTTTATTTTTAGCATATCCAAGAGTGAACAGCTCATTTCAGCTTCTTCCACAGGGTTAGTGGGCTCTTTTCTTTAAGCGTAAAAATACTTCCTTTTTGGCTTGTTGTTCAGAGGTAAGAGTATGTCAGAGAGCAAGAGCAGGGCAAGTGTTGCAACTTCTGCAGTTCTTCTGCCCTCATCCTAAGTACTTCCTTGAGCCTGTAATTCCTCTCCTTCTATTTCACCACTGGGGAAGGGAAGAGAGGGGAAATGGAGTTTGTAAAAGCTTTGCCTAATTCTTTTTCACCTACTCAGTTACACTTTCAAGACACTGTTGATGAGACTGATCATATTTTCTAATTTTGCCCAAACAGTAGAATACTCTTCCCTTCTCAAGCACTCATTTTGGTATGTTTTGGTGTATTTCATACTTAGAGTAAATAATTTTTCAAAGTCTCTAAAAAGAATGATGATTAAGGGAAATATTTTAGGTGGCTTTAGGTTTTTTTAAGTTAAATAATCTAGTCACTATTTTTGAAACAAATCTTTTTATCAATAAAATGCAACAAGTAGTTGATCTCTGCTGAGAAGAAAGAGGTTATTAGTAAGGCACATGTCAGTAAACATCAGTTAAATTTTTCCTTATGGAAACATGTTGGTACTTTATCATTTATGGAGTATGGAGGAGGTCATGGGGAGAAGGGCTGATGTGCTATAAGCATGTATCTCCACAGGGCCCTTTTAATATCTGTTCTGTGTTGGAGTCTATAGGCCTATCTTTTGAGGGATTTTTGGTCTTCATTGAGAACAGGCATACTGACAAGCTACCTTTACTGAAAGAAAGATTGAATTCACTCCACATGTGTTGGTCAGTGAGGAGCAAACCTGTGGTGCTGTACCTGTGGTGCATAAGAGCTTCCCCTGCTACTTAAGGATAGTAGCCAGACAAAGAGTTTATGTACCCACTTTTTCCTTGGGCTCACGGGTAGATTAGTATTTCTTCCAATTTCCTGAACTAGATAAATGTTTCACACATAGCCTTAATTATTTTTTCATGTGTATTAAAGAATAGTTGAACTTCCATTGATGGCAAGGGTGCCTGGTTTTTTTAGCCTTTCATGTTTGGAGGAAAGAAAAAAAAAGGGATAGCTAAAGAGTCTCTTTTAGCTTTCAGCAAGATGTTAGGGTTAGCCAGTATGAAATCTTATAATCCAATAATTGAATTTCATATTTTTATAACATTTTTATTGTTTCACATTGAGAATGGTTTTAAATTGCATCTTATTTAATATGAACAATATGTTATAGGCCATTACAAATCAACCGCAAACATGCAAAGAATTAATCTGTCTCAGAGTAAGATCCCAAGTGTAATCATAATTGTTTAATACTTCTGTTAGCTCTGTGTTAGAAGACCTGAAGAGAACTTAAGTATAAAACTGTAAAGAAAATTTCTTGGACTAAGGAGTGACAAGACTAATAGGCAGTGATATTTTTTTTAACACTAATCATATGTATCCATAAACAAACACAAGTAACTGATTAAATCACTGTGCAAGTGTCTGAAGTAAATCCATTCAGCTGTTTAAAACTGCTCTAACCATCTATAAAGTAAATTATGGTTCTTACAGGTTGTAAAGGCAAGGCATTTGGGGAGTATTTAAAAGAAGAGAAGGTGGATACAGAAGAGAGGAATATAGAAGAGCAAACTTACTAGGGCTAATTTGATATTATGTTATAGATGTAAGAAATATAAGCCTGAGACATCGTGTGTCTTAAGTAAGTGGTGACTGCTAAAAATACAATGGCTGGTAAGGTCATTTTGTGCCTGGTTCTCAGTTTGGAAGGCACTCACGGTTGCGCTTTGGTCAGATCATGTTGCAATTTCTGAAGGAGCATAAAAATAAAAAGTTTAACTTGGGCAGCACAGTTCGAAATCAGCTTGTAAATTTTGTGAAGACAAAACCAACAGATCAGTAGAAAGATATCTAGAATGATATAGAAAAGGGACAAGAGCAGCAACTAAAATTCCAGCAGAAGAAAATTATTTCTACAAAGTTGTTTCTTTGAGTGCTTTTTTTAAAGATTATTTGAACTTTTTCATTTATTTATTTAAGATATCAGGTCTTTATAAAGATATCCCTATATTTTATAGCCATAAGACTGCAGGTAAACATTGAAATGGTATTTAAGGGGCTAGCAAGATAATATAAATGTTTTTCTTCAAGATACCATTCATGTATTTTTCATTATTATACTTTATATATTACATAGGAAACATATGATGTGTACGTGCATTCCTAACATGTTTTGTTCAGCCTTGTAAGTTGTTCGAGGCAATGCTGTGTTTTAGTGGTGTGTTTTATCATATGATTTCACGATTATAATAATTTGACATAAAGGTGTACCACTGCAAACGTGGTAAGAGCTACCTTCCCTCAATTCCTGGCTCCTTGTTCCCAAGTCCTTCAGATATTCTTGCTAAAAAGGAGTGAGAGATGATGGTGCAATCATTTCAGCACCACACTAACACAGGTGCCAGGGCAAATAAGAGACTAAGCCCTCGGGGAAATTATCTATGAGAGCATCATTCTGAAAACAACCTGGGTGCATTGGTTTGAAGGAAATGCCTGCCTAACAGTGGCCCAGCTAGCTTTGTTTATTATTCAGTATATTTTTTTCACATAACTTACTAGGAAAATTAGGCAGATGAAGAGTATATAAAACTGTCTTAAGAATCCCAGTCCCCCTTCATTTATTGATAGTAAACCTAAGGTATAAAGTATGTATGGTCAAAGCCATGCCTTGAAAGAACCAAAGGAAAGGCATAATTGAAGTGATTTCAAAATCAAAAATATACCAGCCCTGATAGTGTAGGTGCATACCTGTGTTTTTCTTTTTATATTTCTTTTAAAATATCATTTTCTTGGTATTAGAAAGTTATGGTACTTGTAAACTAAGCAGTTAGAGTAAGTGATATTTAAAACTCATCTGGCAGTCATAGGTAGCTACTTAGTGTGCTTGGGCAAATCAAACCTATTTAGCTGGCTTAGTTTTTTGTGTTGCAAGTTAATAAATTGCTGTACAGTGACTAAAATGCAGTCTTGACAAATGTACTCTTGCACTGTTAATGCACTGGAAAGGTCGTTCCTCCTTCTTACTGCTCTGTTCATAACAGTATCTGCTTTTCACCCTTTTATTGGCATCCTCTTATTCATTGCAGCCAACATTAGCTTCCAACACTCCTCATGTGTACTTCTAACATAGTTCTTGCTCAGTTGCTTGATAGTGATGTGAATGCCATTCAGCAGCATGATGAATGATGATGATGAATCCACATTACCTACTTCATGAGGTTTCAGTTTTGTGCCCTCTCCCCTTTTGCCCTTCATTTTTGGAAGAATGTCTTTGTAAATATTCACCAGCTAGTTTAATATGTTTCTTCAAATGCTTCCTTAATACCATCTTTCTAGAAAGGTAATATAAATCTTGATAAACCAAAATCACCTATCATGGCAGTCAGTATTATGCCATTGTCTCTTTTTGTGTGTCTCTCTCTGTTATCTTGACCTATGATTTCTGAAAAAGAAATGGTTAAAAGGAAGCTTTTCTGGACCCGGAAGAGTGATGATGATGGGTCTTACCTCAGTTTTGCTCTAGAGTCTAGATCATCCCCAAGAACTAGCATCAGTTCTCCTTGGAATGAGACTAAAAGATGAGTTGGCAAGGCTAGAAAAAGGGAAGGAAAGAGGCTCTTGCCCCAATTTACAGTCTGTCAAAACCACACTTGGACTTTTACTTGCAGTGTGATAGAGGTGCTATAACAATTCTTTTGGACTCCAAAGAATAAAACATTTAAGTAGAAGCACTATTGTTCTGCTATTAGACAACTACTGGTGATGCTTCACCTGGAAAATAAGAAAAGATTTTAAGTATTTTTGCTCTTGACTTGTGTGATCGAAAAATAGCTACAGTAATCCTGAAGTGTTATTTTCTCTGTCTTTTTTTCCTCCAGATAAATACCCTTCAGTTGGAAATTACTCTTGCCAATATGTATCATTCTGTGTCTGAAACCAGTCACCCTTTGCAAACAGAGGAACAAGAGATAGGCATTGATCCCTTGCAGAGTTTTTTGAACAAGCCAGGGGAAGGTGAGTTTTGCATTTCTGTACTTATTTTGACTCTATACCTAGAAACCTTATATAAGTGTGTCATGATAACTGTACCTGTCATAATTTGTTTAATTCTCTCAATGAAGCTGAACAGAGCAACTTAAAGAACATTTCACAGAGTATGTGTAGAACACTTTGACACTAATGAAAACCACGAAAAGTCAACTTTCAATTACATACAGAAACATTAGCCAAATGTTTAATGCGCTGTCATCCTTTTTTAATCATAAACCAAACACTGACTTCAGCATAAGAATATTGAAAATGCAGCATGGCTTTACGTTGCTTTCTCAAACATGGGCTCTTACACTGAGTTGGTTTTATGGAATTTTTTGTTTACCATTTTTTAAAAGTCTGAAATAATGTTTGGTATGTTATTTTGGATGAGATTATGCAAATAAAAAGGCTGATTTTTTTTGTTTCCGCAGCACTTATATTCTTAGTTGAAAAAATACCTGGAAGTTGAGATAGAATGAACAGGCTCTAAAGGTAGAAATTACTATGTAACCTAAAGTAAATTAATTAAATGCAGTATTGGGAAGATTCTAATGAACAGTGAGAAAAAATTGCTTGCATAATGCAATGCATGTCTGTGTTGCTCATCTTTTCTACTTATTTGCTAGTAGTGACAGTATAGTTGGTTCGAAGAAAGTGATAAGCTTAACGAGAAAGCTCGTCCTTGTCATGAAAACATTCCTCAAGTACTCAGTTATACACAGTGGCACCTTAACTACCTGTAATTTTCCAGTCATTGAACACATGTACCAGGAGGGCAAAATAAAAAATTTATTTTAAATTGCAGAGTTGAAACAACTTTGTCACATTTTCTCAGTCCCTCACCCAGATCAACTACTCTGTGTGGGTGTATCTGTCTATAAATCTTCTGTTTACTAGTGCTTATTAAAAAGCTATGTCAGGTTTTGCTCAGCCACGTTTATTACCTCAGTTTTGAAGAAGCTGATGCTTTGCTTTAAAATATATTGGTAAGACTTCATCGTCCCTTTGAGTTAATTTTTTCACTTTTTCTTCATTGGTTTATAAAGGTTTTTCAGTGTTAGAAAATGAGAATGAACATCTAGGGGAAAGTATTTTAAAACCCAACGACTAAATGAAATAGCTTTTCTAGGTCAGTGCTTCTTCTCTATTATATCTGACATCTTAACAATATGGAGCCATTTTGGTTTGATAAACTAAATGCATTTTTGTACATATTTTTAGAAACTTGAAAATAATCTTTTGCAATAACCTAAAATAAAAACCATTTTCAAGAGGAAAAAAAGCTTGCTTCTAGTTTACCCCAATCATGAAAAAGAAAAGCATTTTTTTCTAATTTCTATTTTCCTTAAAAAAATTGGTAATTCTCTCAACTCTGGTTCAAGAAAAAATAAGATTTTCACCCCGTTAACAAACCACTGTAAATTAATTTTATACTTTATTGTGCCCAGAAGTGATTAGTTACCTTAACTGAAAAGGTTTCTCATTTTTATCCCAACCTTAACATTTCTATGACATACAAAGTTATTAGTATTGAATTGATGTTTAAAAGTGCCATTAATTCATTTACCCCAAATGTTCATTAACAATGTAAATGTATGCTGATGTTCTATGAGACAAGGAAGTGACTAATGACTCTTCGCACTAACAACACTTAAAATGAATAGAAACTTTAGATAGCTAATCTTGAAGTAATCAAGACCCTCATTCAGCTTGGCATCTCTGTATGCTCTAAAACAGCTGTCAACTGTTAAAAATATATACACAACACACACATACGCACATGCGAAGATAAAGATATGTAAATACATGGTTCCCCAAGTCATAAAGGTTACCAACTATGGTACATTTTTTATGTTCTATCTATGTAAATATTTTATATAAAGCATCCATTTCATCTTCATAGCTTTTTTGCTGTGAAACACTTAGTGCATTTTAATTTGAAACTTTATATATGCAGAATAAGTCTTCAAAGTTTTAATGTTTCATTTTAAATAAAGTATATGCTTAGTTGGTGTTGGCTCTTTTGGCATCAAAGTATACAGTTGTTTCTGCCCATACAATCTGTCCATCACTGTCTTCACAACAGTATTCCAAGACAAGACTTCTCAATGCAGCCTCAGGTTTCAGGCATGATACAGATTTAAATCAATGAAAATCTGTATCTTAAAGTCTTTTGTATCATGTATTACAGAAATATGGTGGAGAGGTGGTCCATCAGAGATGTTCTGTGCAATATTGTGGAATATCAGGACGTCTGAATTGGTTTTTTGAAGCTGCATTGAATTCTTAAATATTACCTTGGAGGCAAAGTGATAAAAGCCTTCACTGCGACGAGGTGATTAAAAAAAGCACTGATAAGGGTGCTGAAAATAAATATTTAATTATGGAGCTAGTCAGATTTGTTAATCTACATGAAGTATTGTATTTTTAGTATGTGCAACTGATACCAAAACTTGATGGAGAACCAGGAGATGTCATGTCCAGCTGGAGTTTTCAAATTCTCTCACAGTTTTCATAAAATGAAAGAAATCTCAGAAATACATGGATTGCTCTTAAGTATAGCTGTTTGGAAAACTGCATGCATAGACTACTTTTTGTTCATTTCCTGTCAGCTTGAAAGGATGTATTGGATCGGATTCCAGAAATATGTTGATTGAGTCTAGTAGTCTTCAGTGCTTTTATTAAAAGCTCAGTGAAGGTATAGAGAGAAAACATGGTTTATTTGGGACAGGGCTGTTAGCACAATGGAGAGCAGACATAAAATTCAAAGTATTCTTGGGATTTTGGAGAAGTGGCCTGAGAAGAATAAGACATGGTTCACTAGGAACAGCTGCAAGGATTAATGTTGCGGATGCTAGGCAGGAGACAGTTAGCTAGCTGAACAAATGAAAGTAGATCATTACAGATGAGCTAAGTGTCATTTGGAGAAAGATCTGGGCATTTGTAGCTCTCCAGATTTTGTGTAACTGGTGAACTTTGAATCTTGAGTGACGATGAGTCATGAGAATGTGCTTGTTTGCAAGTTTAAAAAATTCAGGATAGGTCATTAACTGTCAAGATATTTTTTTTTCTTTCCCTTTAAAATATTCCAGAAAACCAGTTAAGACAGTATGTAAGTCCTTTCATGTTGATTGATTTGGCCTATGTTATTTTCCTTGTGTCTGATTTTCTTTTGAAGGAGCCAAAAATGTACATTGCGTATATTAACTTATATATACTTTTTTAAATAGCATTTTTTAATAGTTGATAAGCAATTTGTGGCAGGGATTCTCACTTTTACAATCTGTTACTTCAAGTGGAAGATTTTAATTCTTTTGAGGAATTTTAATTTTGGATTGTTTATTGTGCATCTGCTTGTATTTTAATTTACATGCATGTAAATATGTGCATTATTAATAATATGTGCATTATTATGTTTCCTTTTGACTGTAGTCAGTTAATGGCATCTTGCTCCATTCAGTTTATTCTAACAATACTTTTGAATGATCCCATCTGAAACCAGGATCTTCTTCAGAGAAAATGATGAATCTTAGCTCTTTGTCTTCAGCAGAGACTTTATAAGCCCTGAATTAATGAAGTATCAGAAACTTTTTTCTTGTACCTTCTCTCTGTGTAGTGCATTTGACAAACTGTTTTGCTCAATTCCAAGTGCTTGAGGTTTATATTGCACTGAAATGGGGTAACTAGCTTAACTGTTTCTGAGCTGCCATAAATTTTTACTCTAAGTCATAGCATTCACCACATTCTGACACAAGTTTTGAAGAGTGTAGTAGGTAGTATTCCCATTTCATTGATGTAATGAGAAAGTTGATCCTCTAAGGACAGACTGGAACAATGCGTTTAATAATCTTCAATTTAATTTGCTCAATATCACAATTAATACAATTAAGGTCACTTGAAATGAAACTATTAACGAATTGGGTAATTTATTTTAACAATGTCAGTGTGTTCTCACAATTACATTTGCTTTAATTAGTGTACAAGCTATTATTTAATAGCATACTTCACATAGAAAAATGTAATGTGTTCTTTGTTCTTAATAGAAGAAAAGGGGAAACCTTTAATGGGTATGAGTGTTTTGGATTTGGAGTTTGGGGGGATATATTTCATCTCTATAGGCTATAGTTGGTGGTGAGGAAGGACGAAGATAACTACTGGAGCGTGTGACTGAAATTAATCCAGTTGAGACAGATATATGTCCACCTTATACTTGCTTATACAGATATGTCCACCTTATACTTACTTATCATTGCATCCCTTCTGATTCTCAAGGCTGCCATGAAAAAATGTGAGAGATGGTAAGAGAACATTCATATTTCCGTTTTGACCATTCTCTGTGTGTTTCTATTGCTGCTCTTTGGACAACTATGGTATTCTGGTGTTAAACTCATAACCCTGATCACTAGAAAGTATTTTCATGGAGAACTATACCTTAGGTGGAATCTGAGATGCCTGAGTCATACAGAAAACATTTAGAAAACAGAGATGAATGAAGTAATAAAGCAAATGCCACTTTCTCTGGAACTAACAGGGCCCATGTGCTATCAAACAGTTTCCCCAAATCTTAAGTGTAATTCGCATGGGACTCTTTTGGTTTTGGGTACATCCTTTCACATTCATTCCAGTGTTAAGTGAATTTCTGCTGTCAGCAAATTGTCTTATATCCTAATTAGTCCATAGCTATTCTGTGTTATGAGCTGGAGGGGTTTGCCCTTACAACCCCCTTTGCATCAGGGAGGCAGTGCTAATGCAGATTGCCCTGTGTGGTGTTTATTTGTTTCTGGTTTTAGAGATCATTTCATTTAAAGGAAGCAACCACAGAGGTCTACACCTCTCTGTGTGAGAAGTACTTCCCTAGGTAAAAGCAATTGAGAGTGCAAATACAGTGAGTTCTTAAAGCCTTATTATTTTCCTATCAAATATTTTTCGATAGCGTATTGTATGACGTCATATGTGCATATAATGTGTGTTCTTTCATCTTC